TAAGTGGCATGAAAAGCAAGTAAATTTGATTACATACCAATATCACCTTCTTCAAGCAGAACTAAAAATGAACCACATTGTTCTGCACATTTCTCAGAGGCATTAATATGAAGTTTCAGATTACCCCCACCTACAAACAGCCAGCTGTGTCCAACCTGAAGCTGGTGGGACTAGAACAGAATAGAGGGGGAAATAAAATCAGATGGTATTACAATATATTGTTGAAACTTATGTACATCTTTCCTAAGGGAATCAGCTTTGGTGGAGTTATTTTGATTCTTTAAAGTAGGCAATTCCTTTAAGGAGATTGCAGATTTGTGGGATAGAACACATTAAAAAGAACAATCTTAACTCTCTTGAACCTGATTGCTCAAGGTGTCAACTAACTTTGATCATGGTCTTTTATTGTGACCTCTCCCTGATAAGCAACTGAAAATTGGAAGTTACAAAGATTTCAATACTGTTTGGCCTCTATCCCACAAATCTAGACTATCTTTACTTCAAGTTCTAACTTCTGATTGGCTGAGAATTTTTTCAAACAGGGTAACTGGTAAGTCAAAATTTATAATAAACTTGCTTGCGTCAACTTACGACAATATTTTACTGAGAATCTAATCGATATACCACAACCTAAAAGCAGTCATAAAACGGACAGAAATCGATCTAAGCAATCAGCGCCTGAGGGAAGTTTTGACTGATACCATGTTGCTTGTTTTATGCATGAAAACAAAACTGAAAGTTTGAAACTATCAAGTTATCCCTCACGTACATTAAGCATATATTTCACAAAATGCAACAATGAAAATTTCTCAACTTTTAATAGAACTTATTCACGTGCTGTAAAAATGCATTGCAAGTTTCAGAAAACACTCAATCTCATTGAAGAAAAATACAAAGTGAAACATGATAAATATGAGCTGCAGTTTAGAATGACAAATGCAGGAATCACCTGCCTTACATTTATATTACACAGCAGTGGAGCTACTTGAATGGGCAGTGCAAGTTCCACTCAGTAGCACGAAGGATAGAGGAAATTCAAGTCTTTTCTGTCAAAGAAACTGCTTCGGTTTTGTGCAAATCTTTAGGAAATCCAGGTCATTTTCTTTCTGTTTCATCCCATAGTCCGAAGATGTGCAGATTGTGTGAATTAGCCATGCTAAATTACCCTGTAGTGCCTGGGGATGTGTAGGTTAGAAGCATTAACTGAGTTTAAAATGCTGGGTTATAGGAATAGGTTTGGGGTGGGATGTTCTTCAGAGGGTTGGTATAGAGTCAATGGGTCGAATAGTCTTTATCTGCACTGTAGGGATTCTGTTTTAAGGGATGAGTGGAGAGAAAATATTGCTGTACCTAGTACGTACGGTTCTAAATTTTTGCTCATTTCAAATGGTTACCTTAGTTTTGTGAAAGCAAGACGACAAAAATGCAAAGTACATACTGAGCATACCAACAGATCGGGTTGTGAACTCTCAATCTCCGCTCCCCCCACTTCAATTTGTCTCTTTCATCTCACAGACATTTAAAGTTTGTACAAAATATCAGCTTTCACAGTGCTTTGCATCTCCATTTTGGCAGTTTTTCAATTACAGCTCAGTATGCAAAGCCGAATTGTTTCACTGATTTTCTTACAATGATTTTAATGAAACACAAACTGAAGTAAAAGATAATGGAATTTTTTTTTGTTTTTTATTTCACGAACAAGACATTCCTATAATCAAGATTTTCTTTCAAATTAACTGTATCCCAACCAGCACTGCAAGCACCCTTCTTACATAAAGATTGATAGGCCTGATTACAAAGCTGGCTCAACAAATAAAGCTTGCAGGATTTGTATTTTGTTTTAGAAAATGTGATTACATTTACTTGTTCAGAAAATAATTCCTACCCACTGTTAAGGAGTTGGAAGAGGCTACAACATAAGAATAGGAGCCCCAATTCAGCTCCTTGAACCCATTCTGCCAGTTAGATTATGACGGTTTTGTATCTCAACACCATTTATCTACCTTTCTCCTCTATTTCTAATCCTTACCTAACAATTATTACTCTCAATCTCAAGATACTTCATTCAAGCTAATATCCACTCCCTGTACAATAAGTGATTCTTGAGTTTATTTCTAAGTGGTCAGACACTAACTTTGAGAGGTCTCCTTGTTCTGTAATCGCTCATTAGTATTTCTCAGTACTTACTCTATCAAATCCCTTTAGACATAAGGATTAGATCATTACCACCTTTCCTTTTTCAGGGAAATGTAAGCCAAACATGCTCCAGAATAATTTTGATGAACTTGCACAGTAACAGTCCCAAAACAGATGTATACTTCCTGAAATCAAGCAGCCAAAACTGAACATAACACTCCAGATGGGGTCTGACCTAGGCTCTGTTGAACTGAAGCATTCTGCCTTCTGCACTATATTCCAGCCTTTTGAATTAAAGAGCAACATTCCAACAGTCCACTGTATACGGACACCCAAATCCCTCTTTTCTCTACTGTTTCTAGTCTTTCACTATTTAGACAAAAAATTGATTTAACACTCTTGGGTGCAAAATGATGATTCCACACAGACCTCCATCAGCCAATTTTGCCCTATCACAATCTGTGCATCTCCCCTCATAACTTACTGCTCCCACCTACACAATTTGCCAAACCTCCTAATGTTGTCATGTCCAAGCTTGGTTATAGAACAATATTTCTTCAAAGTAATGGTGAAAAGTTGAAACCTTGGTACCGATCCCTGGGAAAACATCACTTGTCACATCTGACCAGATTACATTCTCTACATCCTGAGACTACCGAAACATTTTACTGTTAACCTAGGCACCCGTGAAATATTATCTTCCTTTTTTTTAATTTCCCCTCACTTTATTTGCATCCCTTTGTTATATACTATAACTCTTCCGGTTGAGTGGATTTTCAAATTTAAAAGTCTTCTGCAGGATTAGCTGGGAAATTAACATTTTGTTATAACCACACAAAGTTTATTCATTGGTTCATCTAATATATTATTGGTAATATAACATCATATAGCTCTATTTAGCTTCATTTGACAAAGCAATGCACCACAGGACTGCAAACAGAATGAAGACAATATCTTAAGGTTACAGCTTTAAGGTTGAGGGATCTCCGTTTAGATTAAGTATAACTGATGCCCAGGATTCCAAGGCTAATTAAGACAGAGGCAGCAGACAGTTGACTCGTTAGCCCTTATCAAGAAATCATAACCACAGCTCTGTCCTTGTAGTGGTGGGTTTAATTTATTTAAGTAAATGCAACATCTGTATTACAGTTAACTTCGTAATGATGTGTTTAAGTTTGTAATTAGGTATTTTCTCTAATGATATTTTCTGATCTTCTGCATTAGTTTCACCTTTAAAGTTGAAAGGTAACATATCTCCAAATGCTCAAATGAAACTGGAACAAAGCCAATTAGAACTGATGCCTCTGAGGAAAAGCAACGGTCATTGATAATGAAGCGTCTGATTTACTAGGAATTTTGCCTAATTAAACAATTGAGACATGAGCTCAAGGATATTAATCTTTGGATCATTGATGCAAATGCATCCCTTTCTCTAGGAAGGGAATAAAGGAACATTTCACACTATCCTCTTATCTTCGTAAAAAGTCAAAGTGACAGTAATAACACTTGGTGAAGTAGACAGTTTCATGCATAACTGACAACTTAACGAACCAGACAGAAGATACTGGAAAGTGTCATCAGACAGTGTCCATTAACCTTAAGAGCCAATTAAGAGACTGATCCTGCCTCCCTGGCCTAGCCTAGGCCAATCAGAATACAATGCTGTGGGTGTGGCATCAACTGTCAATAAGCAACAGCTTTCAGCGACCAAGACATACAAAAATTTGGAAGTAGGATCATTTCAAAATCAGAAGAGAAAGGTCCTTCAGACATTTGAGAAAGACCAAAAACGGGCATCGATCTGTGTCGTAAAATGAACTGAAAAGCAAGAGCTCTAGTACCCCATAAGAGCCACTGCAATGCTTTAATAAATATTATTTGTAAACGAAGTTTCCTGAGTTAATGCACAAGATTGTCTCCCGTTGTCTTATTGGTTAGAATCTCAAATGAACAATTTAATATTGAGACACGTTTAAATTATAAAGACTCCTAAACTACGTTTTGTATGCCTTCTCTGATATAGCGTCTTACCTAATTTGGTGCCTTAATTATACAAATGGCACTTTTGTCACTGAGGAATGCTCTGCTTTTGTACTGTACGTTTGTTATTTCTCACCTTTCGTTTGAGGTGTACTCATTGGCAGTACACTACTGCAATCAATTTCATTCTAATTCCTTTGAAGTTTTTCTTTCATTCCTTCAAGGGATATGGGTTTCACTGGTGAGTCTGGCGTCTATTGCCCACACTGAATTATTGGCCTTGAACAGAGTGGCTTGTTAGACTAGTTCAGAAGGTAGTTAGAATAGGTCTGGAAATATATCAGACAGACCTTAAAAAGGGTATCAATAAATCAGATAGATTTTAACAACAATCAATGATAGGTGTCATGGCCATGATTACTGACATGAGCATTATATTCTAGATTTTATTACTTAAATTCAAATTCCACCAGCTGCCCTGTTGACACTTAAACCCATATCCCCAGATCATCAGCCTGGCTCTCTGGATTATTTATCCAGTGACATTTGCACCGGGCCACCATTTTCCAGACCTCAGTTAATTTTTCAACATTAGTTTGTCTCTCCCCTTTCACTCTCTCAGCAAGATATCAAATTCAATCACAATATGCTTGCAAGACCGATGAAAGCATTAATGAATCATAGAAATGCATTACAGAAGTAAACATAATTAAAAAGTTTCTTCTTAAGTGGAGAAGACTGGTAAGTAAAAAAATATGCTCTGCTATTCCAATTTATAAACCATGAATGTTTCAAGTAGTTGACTTACGAGCAGCAGACAACTAAATAATTTTGATTCATTGTTCAATAACAAAGCATAATTGCCTTATTTCAATCTTCCTTACCAGGAGTTGGAATGGAGAGCCACGACTGGGTGCTATTATACACTTCTTCAGGGATACCTTACTTTCAAAAGGTAGTATGCTTGAATTTGGAAAAAGCATTCGAAGAATATGTATCCCATTTATACGTTGCTTTTTCCTGATTATGATGAAACAAGACAAGCGTGGTTACTACTGCTCATATTACAGAATTTTAGATCAATTACTACTTAGTTTTCCATAAAAATAATTCAAGTGCATGGCAAAGAACAAAATTAAGTACAAGTATTTTAATCAATTATCAGTTATAATTTAGAATTGTCCAGTAGGTAGATGCCATCCAAAGATCACTATCTTGCAGTGAAATTATACATTGAAGGAGACACGATGCTTTGAAAGCTCATGGTTTCATAACACAAATCTGATCTGTACTTCTCCATCCAATTATTGTGTTACAGGAGTTCAAGCTTTGGCTAATTCCGTGCGATTTTGGACTCTAATAGAAAATGGGATATCCTAAGACCAGATCTAACACCAGAAGGTTTGTCTGGGAGGTAGAATGTATGATCTTTGTGAATCTTTTTAGGCAGAGGGGGTATTTAACAAAATTAACCTTTTCTAAAAACTGAATTGCATGATTCATACACAATTGTGCAAAGGTGGTGAAGTTAACAACAAATGCAGAACTCTAGAGAAACGCAGTAGTTGTTTAAAAAATGCTAGCAGCATTTGTGGAAAGAGAAAAAAACGTTAATGTTTTGAATCTGGTCTGACTCTTCTTTAGAGCTGAATTTAGTCATTAGTCATTCTGTGCTTGTTTCATATTTCCAGCACCTGCAGTATTTTGCCTTTATATGGTGAAGGCAGCGACACAATGAAAGATTCAGTACCTCATTTAGCATGACTTTTGAGCAAACATCAATAGCTTGCATGATAAGGAATAGGAAATTGCAAGCTCACAGGATGCTACAAAGTTTGGTTAGAGATTTATTTACATCTTTTAACTGGTGAGCAAATGCAAGTGATCAGATTCTTTGCTTTCAGCACTTTTAGATGTGAAAGGCATTAGTATCCTTTTTCTCTAGTTTCTGAATTTACAGCATTTAAAATTCAATAATTGAAGTTAACAGTTGTGCAATGATTAGTCTGTTGTATATTTATTGCCACACAGAAACATTTCTTATTAACAAAAACATGTGTTACTTAAAACTCATTAAATATGTCACCTGACTTTCTCTAAATATTTTAAAGCAGAAAGTAGCATTCTACAATATGCCTAGCTTTAATGCTCTTGATAGGCGGTGACAATTCTGCAATCCACCTGCTCAGAATCTGATTACTCAGTCAACTATTCTGGAGCAAATATATCCAAGCGACATCCAGGCCCTCTGAGAAAAGTGGACAGTTTCAAGTAAAAACATTAAAGATACAACAGACTATTCAAAATAAGTAAATTTATGGGGAAAAAAGTCACTTGTAATTTTTTGATGTTGCTTAAAATCTTAATTTTGAACACAAATATTAGTCACTGACAATAAAATAACAGGCAAAGAGAAATCAAGAAGCAGTTTAGGTAACTTGACAGTGAATAAATCAGGCTGGCAACTGCAAAATTATCCCACGGACAGTTTCAAAATTAAATATTCACAAGAATGAAGTATCATGGAAACAAGTAAAAATAGGTCTGTAGCATGGTTAACCAAATTAATAAATACTGCTCTACCAATTTTGTTTTGTTCAACACTTCTATTAATTGCAGCTTTTATCATCAGCAGACTCTTTGTTGAAAGGTCTAGTTGCCATTTAACTAAACGTTATTACATTAATCATCTCAAAAGTCTGTTTTGAGGATCAAATGAAATCAAATACTTTATTTGATCATTCTCATTTGAGGACTCTCTCAATTATAACTATCTCTTATCAGCAAATTATAGAACATTTACTGGGACGGGGCAAGGAAGAGATTTAAAAACAAAATTAAAAATAAGAAATAAACTGAAAACCTCAACTAGCAAAATATAAAATTTTTTTTGAAAAATGCTTTTACTAAAATCCAAGAGATTCTATTTTTAAAAATGAAAATAACTGGATTCACCGAATTCATTCTCACCAGTGAACAATCAGGTTGGATTCTTCTTCAGGAAAGAGATAGGAGTTTTTGTTGGCTTCATTTTCAGCATCGTCTCCAAAATCAGCATACACATCCATGACCTCCTTGTATTCTGAATACAAGTGTTTCAAATCCTCATATGACAATGACATGGTTGGCCCACTCTGCGGGACAAGATTGAACAAATCAATGCAAATTTCGTTGCTGCATCACATTTACAAAAACGGAGTTATTAATCAGAACACACAATGTGTACCCTGGTACTCAATTGAAAATGTCATGACAAGGGAATTCTAACCTTACCGTGTACTATTTCATATTGGCACAATGTAACCATAGTTTATGGGATTAAAATTAGGGCAATACAACACAAAACAGTATTGTAATCAATGTATCTAATGTATACTTGATAATCGTGTGAATTGCAGTTGCATTTTCTTTAGGCAAGTTACTCATTTCAGTAACCTATTCAATCTCAAAGAATTTTAGCTTTTAAGGGATACTGTAATAAATGGATTTTAGTCCCCATTTGCTTGCCATTTTTCCCTGTAAACATTAACGCTTGTAAGCATTAATGCTTGTAAGCATTAACATAGGAACGGCAGATGGAGTTTAATTTAGATAAATGTGAGGTGTTGAATTTTGGTAAGGCAAAACAGGGCAGAGCTTAAACAGTTAACGGTAGGGCCCTGCAGAATGTTGCCAAACAAAGAGACCTAGGTGTGCAGGTGCATAGTTTCTTGAAAGTGGACTCACAGGTAGACAGGGTGGTAAAGGCAGCATTTGGAACACCTGCCTTCATCGGTCAGTGCACCGAGTATAGGAGCTGGGATGTCATGTTGCGGCTGTACAAGTTACTGGTGATACCACTTTTAGAATAAAGTATACAATTCTGGTCACTCTTCTACAGGAAGGATGTTTGTTAAACTTGAGAGGGTGCAGAAAAGATTTACAAGGATGCTGGGACTAGAGGGTTTGAGTTATAGAGAGAGACTGTATAGGCTGCGGCTTTGTTCAATGGAGTGTCAGAGGCGGAGGGGTGACCTTATAGAAGCTTATAAATCATGAGGGGCATAGATAGGGTGAATAGTCAAGGTCTTTTCCCCAGAGTAGGCAAGTCCAAAACTAGAGGGCACAGGTTTAAGGTGAAAGGGGAAATATTTAGAAAAGGACTTGAGGGGTAACTTTTTCCACGCAGAGGGAGGCACGTGCATGGAATGGGCTGCCAGAGGAAGCGGCGGAGGTTGGTACAATTGAAACATTTAAAAGACTACTGCCGTGTACATGAACAGGGAGGATTTAGAGGGATATGGGCCAAATGCTGGCAAATGGGACTGGGTCAGATTGGGATGTCAGGCTGGCGTGGACAAGTTGGACTGAAGAGTCTGTTTCCGTGTTGTATGATTCTACGACCTGATTAGAATATGGTGCTACATTCAACATACCTCTTCGTGACTAAAAAACATGGCTCATATCTACACTAAGTAACAAGCAGTATTTAACAACACAGACCATGGAAGCTGTGCCGAACCTAGACCTCACCTGGTATTCATACTGTGCATGTCTAAGAGGAACCATGACAGTAATCAAGAAAAGAAGTGGACTAGTCTTCTCCTACCTAAAGTATTTGGTGTTAAAGCTAATTGTAATGCCATAGTTTCTGAAATCTGAAGCTGTTACAAGATTCTGATACACCCTGGATGAATTTGCTGAGCGACTTGGAAAAGTCACCAACATAATCCTCCTACAAATATTAATAAAAACATACTTTTCATAGACACTAAACACAATACACAAATTAGCAGTGCAAACCATGTGATACACTAATCAGGCTGAATGTACTTACAACCACACTATGGACTTGGGGTCCCTGCCCTTCACCTCAGCCATACTGCACGATTTCACAAGACACCACCCCAACGCACTTTCATCTCAGTATTACCTTTGCCTCACAGCAACAGTTTGACATTTTCCATAAACAGGCCAAATCTCATGAACAAAAGACTTGGATTTGAACATGTCTGCTCACTGCATGAAGGAAAATCATTTACACCCATTCAGGTAGGATTACTTTACAGGTTACAGAAATACCCCAATTTCCAAGATCCGTTTTTACAGTATAATTATTTTGAAAAGAAATTTAGCATTACAAATGATCACAATCTGCCCTAAAAAAAACCCAACTCAATGGCATTTCAGCAGACATTGTTTTATACACAGAATTTCAAAACCAGTAGGCAATAAAGAAGATGGGGTACAAGAGACCAAATAAAAAGACTAACACTCCTGCCTGACATAAATGCTCACCTTTATTACAACTGGTTGAACTATCCGATGATTATACTTGGAAATATGTTTCATGTCATTCACTGTTCCGACAGTGGTCAAGGCAGCACATTCAGTACAATTAGGTATCAGCCGTGCACACCCAGAGCATTCCCAATCTTGAAAAGCTGCAAGAAACACAGTAGTCACGTTTGTTAAATGCGCAGGATCAAGCTATGACTAGACATAAATAATTGAGCTTTACCATCGCTCTACACAATGCCTTGCTTTACAAGCAAAATTCAGAAATTGTTGTATTTTCTAGCCCCGTAGGTCTCTGTTTTTCCAATTTTGAGAAATTCAATACGAGGAAAGGCTTCCCAAAGTGTATCATGATCCCTGGTGGGGTTTGTTTGATGATGTCAGCTGAGGCAGCAATAGCTGCTAGGGACTGCCAGAGTGCTAACAGCTGTGCAATTATTTTAAACCTTTGCATTTTAAAAAAATGGGTGTGGCTTAATGCGCTAATCTACATTGCTCAAGTTCTGCCCCAAGACCTTCAGTGGAAAACTAGGTGTGTTTTTGCATAAAAGCATTGCAATCTAAATAGTCCCCCTACTCACTGTTCTCCCCATTGCCATCTCCCAGTGCTCCACCCCAAGTCAGCTCTCTACCCCAACCATTCACTTTGCTAAAATCAATTGCAATAGTTTGACCCTGTAAGACACATCTGGTTCACTTGCGTCCTTTAGGGAAGAAAATTTGCCATCCTTATCTCTGCGCCACGTGACACCAAAACCATAGCATGTGAAGGACCCTCAACCGTCCTTTGAAGTGGCCTAGGAAGCTCCTCAATCATCCCAAAGTGATGCAGAAAAGTGAAAATAAATAAATAAAACCAGACAAACCAATCTGGCGTTGATGACTGCCATACTCTCGCTCATATATATTACACAAAGTCCCTTGTGTACCACCAATACTCTACATAGGTACAGGCACTGTAACATATCAGAAAGCAGCTCACCTTTGCATGCTCAACATTAACTCCACATCCCATGAATCAAACAAGTCAAACACGCATGAAATCTATGGATTGCCATGCAGTACCCTCTAGCTGATCAATCAGTACCCTTCTGTGTTGAAAACAACTTGGAAGAAGTGCAAAGTAGCAAGGTGAGGAAGCCAGAAAAACCTGCTTGATCTAGACTGAACTAATCTACCTGCCTTAGATGTATCTGTCCGTGACAGTATAGTGTGAATACTGGTCTTCACAAGCGCACACCCTTCATTGAATTGAGGTATTGTCACTGTGCTAAATGTGATAGATTCAGATCGGATCTAGCAGCAACAGCACTGAATTTGTGCTCCAGAACTTGCTGAATCGTAGACAGATTGTTCCAGTACAACTACAACATTGACATCTACACAGCAATAGTGAAAATTACACAGGTTAATCCTGACCGCAACATGCAAGACAAATCCAACCCTACTAATTACTTCCCTAACTATCCACTCTCAATTAACAAACAAGTGCTGCAAGGGGTCATCAACAATGCAATCAAGCAAAACACTTGCTTAGCAGAGACAACAAGGTGCAGAGCTGGATGAACACAGCAGGCCAAGCAGCATCATAGGAGCAGAAAGGCTGATGTTTCAGGCCTAGACCCTTAGTAATTTTTTCAATTACATTTAACTTGGGTTCTCCCAGAGGCACTCAGTCCTGGCCTCATGACAGCTTTGGTTCAAACATGTATAGAGGTGAGAGTGACTGCCCTCAACATCAAGGCTACATTTGGCAAAACGTAGAATCAAGCAGCCCCAGCAAAACTAGAGAGTCTATGAGAATCAAGGGGAAATTTCTGTGCTGGTTGCAATCATATCTAGCTGAAAAGGATGATGTTTATGGGAATTGGAGGTTCAGTCACCTGACTCCAAGATATCACTGCAGGAGCTCCTCAGGATAGTTATCGTCAGCTGCATCTTCATCACTTCCAATAACGTCAGAAGTGGGTATATTTGCTATTGGTGAACACCATTTAGGACTGCTTCAATATCTGAAGTCCATGTCCAAATGCACAAAGACCTAGAAGATATTTATGCTTGGGCTGACAAGTGCAATGTAATGACCATCTCCAATAGGAATTTAACCACCACCCCTTAACAATCAATGGTATCACTATTGCTGAATTGTCCGTTATCAACACCCTGGGTATTATTACTGACCAGAAGCTGAACTGGACTAGTCAGATAAATATTTTGGCTTCAAGAACAGGTCAGATATTAAGGATCCTTCAGTAACTCAGCACTCAACATCCCAAAGCTGAACCACAACCAACAAGGTACAATTCAAGAGCTTTATGGAATACTCCCCACTTGCCTAGATGGGTGCAGCTCCAACAACACAAGCAGCTTGAAACAATTTGGAACAAAGCAACCAGCCTGTCACTAAATCTGTGCCCTCCACTACCTCAGTAGCAGCAATATGTACCATCTACTAGATGCACCACATAAATTCACCAAGGCTCCTTAGAAAGCATTTTCCAAACCAACAATTATAAACATCTAGAAGGACAAAGGCAGCAGATACATGGAACACCATCACTGCTAGTTTGTCTCCAAGCCAGTGAACATCCTCATTGTCACTGAGTCAATATCTTGGAACTCATTGCCTGACAGCATAAATGATGCACCATGCCAGAGGTTTGAGAAGACAGCTCAGCATCACTTCCTCAAAAGGGCATTAGGAATGACCCAAAAAAAAAAAGTGGCCCACTGAAGGCTCAAATCCCACTTATGATGCTTTTTTCTTTTTCTAAAAAAAGTAAAAGACGAAGCAATTCCACAAACAAGAGACCAGATCAAGGTTTCCGATCTTTCCATTTCCACTCATGAATGGCAGTAGACAATTAAGTTCCGAACTTAAGGAGGTGGCTCCACAATTATCTCCATCTGCAATGATGGGGAAGCTCAGCGCACATCAGAACACAAGTAAATACTGACACATTTGCAACCATGTTCAAACAGAGCTATGCGAATGAATGATCCGTCTCAGCCTTCTTCTCAGATCTCCAGCTCAAATCTTTAATCAATTCAATTCACCCCATATAACTTCAAGGAATAGCAAAAGGTACTGAAACTACAAATGGTTATGGGCCCTGGCAATATCCTGATAATTATAATTAAAACTTGTTCTCTGGAACTGGCTGCACCAAGCCATTCCACTGCAACTACAACACCAGAATCTACCCAACATTGTTGAAGATAGTCTGGAGGTGTTATGTCCATAAAATGCAGTCCAGCTAAGTAATGCCCCATTAGCCTCCTGTTGATCATCAGTGATAGATGTTGTTGACAGTAGCATCAACTGGCACCTACACAGCTCACTCATGCTCAGTTTAAATTTCACCAGGGCAAATGGGCTCATGACCTCATTGTAACTTGGACCAAACATGATCAAAAAAGCTGAAGATTAAATATGAAGTGAGAGTGATTGCCTTTGACATCTGGACAGAATTTAAACAAGAAGCCTTGGCATAATTGAAGTTAACAGAAATCAGGGAAAAACCTCTACTGGTTGGACTTGTATGTAATTAAATAAAAGTTAGTGTGGTTGTTGATAACCAATCACCTCAAATCCAGTACAACACTGCAGAAGTTCCTCATGGTAGTGTTGTAGTGTCATAGCATCTTCATCTGCTTTACATGTGCCTTTGTCTCTATCATAAGGTCACAAATGAGTTGGGGCTGGGATTTCGCTGAAGAATGTACAATGCTCAGTTAACTTCTGCAGTCCCTCGGATACTGAAACATTCCATGTCCGTAGGAAGCAACTCTGACTGAAAAGTGGCAAGAAACATTTGCACCACAACTGCCAAACAATGATAACTTCCATCAAGTAGAAATCTAATCACCTCCTCTTGACATTCAATGGCATTATCATTGCTAAATTCCACAAAATCAAAATCCTGGGAGTTATCATTGACCAGAATTGAACAGGACCAGACATAAATATTATGGCTACAAAAGCAGGTCAGAGATTGGGGATTTTTATTCAACTCACCTCCTGACTGAGGAAAAGGTACAAGTCAGGAGAGTGTACTGGAATATCCTCCACTCACCTGGATTAGTATGGCTTCAAAAACACAGCACCAGACAGCACAATCTGCTTGACTGGTTCCTATCGACTACCTTCCATATTCACTTCTTCCACCACCGATGCACGGTGATAGTACTGTGTAATATATACAAGGTGCACTGCAGCAGCTCAATGCTCATTCAACCCCTCCTTTCAAGCCCATGACTTCTACCAGTTAGAAGAATAAGCACAGCACGGAAATCTCTAAATGCAAGTTCCGCTCCAAATTACACACCATACTGACCTGAAACTATATCATCGTTCTTTCATCATCACTGAACTAAAATCTTTGAATTCCCTTCTGAACAGCACTAAGGATGTACCTGCATTAATTGGATTACACAGGTCAAGTCATGGGATGTAGGTGTCGCTGGGGGAGACAGCATTTAGTACACAACCTAATTACCCTTGAACAAGTGTTTGCTAGGCTATTTCAGAAAACAGTTACAACATTGTTGACAGTCTGGCGTCATATGCTGGCCAGAAAAGGCAAGGTCAGTACATTTTCTAAAAGAACATTAGTGAACCAGATGACTAATAATGTAACTATCGTAGGTTAACATGGTCACCAGTAGAATAGTCTTTCTTCATAATCCCAATTTTTTTTTTTTTTTAAAATTTCAATTTTCACCATCTATCTTGGAGGGATTTGAACCCATGTCCCAAGAATATTAATCTGGAGTTCTGGATAACCAATCCAGTGACAGGACCAGTATACCACCACATCCTCAATGGTTCAAGGTGTCTCACCACCATCTTTTGAAAAGCAATTAGGAATGGGCAACAACATTACTCTTGTAAGGAACATTTCAGTGTAAGAAGTTTAAAACTACCAACTTATTATTTTTTGCATACAGAGTGTAGGTGTATGTGAAGCAGTCACCCATCTATGCTTCATTTCCCCAATATAGCGGAGACCACATTGTGAGCAGCAAATGCAACAGACTAGATTGAGGGAAGTGCAGGTAAAGCACTGCTTCACCTAGGTGGTGTGTTTGAGCCCTTGGATACTGAGGAGGAAGTAAATGGACAGGTGTTACACCTGCTGTCACA